CTTCATTTCCTCTTCTGTTTCTAACCTGATGTTCTCTTAATACGCTCACATTGTCTTTTGCATTTCTCTGGGCAGAATCTTTACCCATTGCTGGTAATTACCCTTGATTTCTGCCGACTTCTCAACATATACTACTTATATCCATTCTACTCAGCAACGCCCACTGCAATATCACTACGATTCTTAATAATCAAGGTATTTTGAAAGGTCAACTAGGTATTACTTCAATTGTATAAAACCAACTATTGTGAAGGTATTGTTAATCAACTGTTTTCTTCAAATCAGTTCCTCTGAGTAACCATAAAACATTATTCACAACAAATATCCTTACTTATGATTATTTCATCCTCATCTTCACATAATAACTTCATACATAAATTCGAAAATTCACTATGCATTAAACTTATCTTTTTATTTGCTGATAATTATCATCACTAGTTTGAAAATGTATGGCATTTACGCAAGCTAAATTATCACCATGAAACTACTTTGTAAGTTTTGTTGTAGGATTTTTTTTCCCCCTTTAATAATTGTTTCTTTAAGAAGACAAGAATAGAATAATATGAAATATGCTGATAGCGTTAATTTCTCTCCTGAACACTTTATTAAAAGTTATTCCAAGATGTTTTGGTAAAAATTTCCAACTTTTCTAGGTGTCACTGAGATGATTACAAGTTAAAAATCCCTAAGGGCAAAACATCAATCAGAGTGCATGGAGTTCTGACTGATACTAAACCAGAGAAACATAAACTTACTCAGTTATTTTTTATCTATTTATACTTTATATTCATTTCCTCTTTGAATAAGTCATCAGACTTCCTTTTTATAGAGTTAAAATACTTTTTGTACTAGGTCTTGGATACTGTCATGATACTTGTAATTTCCCGTTGCAATAACAGGGCCGAATTGTTCGACCTGTGTTGATAAATGGGCTTCTGTGCGGATACCTGGGTACTACCGAATATTCACGATGTTATATTGATCTTGGTGACTAGTAGAGGGGTCGAGGACATGCGTTTCGTCCTATTTGGGACTAGTCTGCGGGATGTATCTGCACCCCAGAGAGCGTTATCCACTAAGCCACTGGGGTACGATTGCTACTTCTTGTGCTACTAGTATAAGTTGTTGTTATGACACTGGTACCTGTATAGAAATGGAAACTTACAAGTGTCATCATAAAAACTGATACCCGTTGCGCAAGAGGTGGCTATCGTTCTTCAGTGGCTTAATGGATAACTCTGTGATGTTTAAAGCAATGGTTACTGGGTTTGAGTCTCACTGGGGGTGCAGGCAGATCTAGCTGACGAGTTCTAAATAGGACAAAACGCGCATCTTGGATTCCTCTGCTAGTCACCAAAATCGATAGAAATCTTGGTTACTTTTCTGGTTTTCTACAGTCCTCCTATAGTGAATATGAACATTTACGTTCCTTTTTAATTTATCTCTTGATAAAATTATAAGTTTTTCGTTTGACTTTAGATTTTGTTAAGTTCTTTATTCTTGATTAGTTAGCTTAAACGATGAATGTATTTCCTTCACAAATTGTGTAATGTAACTCTTAGTACTGGCTTATAGAAAATTAGTAGTGTATTGCAAATCGGGCGAAAATCTGACTGCCTGGTAATAACTATTCAATATTCACACACATTTTGTATGCTTTTATAGTTTTCTGTCAATTCATTGGTTATAGATTATGCCTTGAGTGTTTTAGTCTTCGTACTCAAGTTATTTTAAAAATTCAAGTTTATATCAGTGAACATCTTGCTACTTTGGTCATCCTTCACATGACATTGTTTAGACAGAATTTTTAAAAACTTGAAAGGGGGATTAATTTTATTAAATATAGAAGTTTGAAGGTAACCTGGCCAACAATGGACTGGATGGTTTGAAAAGAACTTGGACACCGAGTTAGTATGATTCATTGTATAGGATGTATTTTTACTTGTATAATCCCGGCGTAGTATATTAGAACAAATAACAAAATAAACAAATATTTTGTATTATTCCTCAACGTTTCGATCTTGCCAGGAAGATCCTTTTCAAGAGTATGAATCTGACACTAAGTCTTCAGGTTAATATTCAAGTTTTGGTACACAAAGTGGTGACCTTTACAATCACTAAGACGTCTAGCCGAACACGGTAGAAGTTCCAAAAAATTCCTATGATCTAGAAAAACTTGAAAAAAGCTCTGCTATCGCAGCTCATGCCCTATATTCAGGTCATAAAATATCATTCGAACAGACAAAAGTTCTGCAAAAGGGTTTCCTTTCTCACAAAGAGCTGACCATTGCAGAAGTTCTGCACATCTGCTCATATCCTTCTTCAGTCAACAGAAAAGATGGGTTAGACATCCCACTAATATGGCAAACATTAATGACTCGCCTAGGCAGTTATAAATAATATCTGAAGAGAAGGTAGATTGTCTAGTCTTATTACATACACCTTATTGATCTACTATTTTCATCAATTTTACACTACTCTCTAAGTCATATACATTCGATGAACCATAACATAATCCATTTTGTTATCACTCATACTTCAAGGGTTATCAAAAGTACATTTATGGTTATCATTATTTCAAGTTGTTATTCATCGTAGACTGACATCAGTTGGAGGAAGAAAGGAAACCTGGGAGCACTGGACAGCTGTTTCGTCCTAGTATGGGACTCCTCAGCAGTGCGCTCCAACTGATGTCAATCTGCGATGAATAACAACTTGAAATAATTCCAAATCTCCACAACTCCCTCAAAATTTAGTTATCATTATTATTATTTATTTAAGATATATTGTCTCATCTTCAAATATTCATCCGTCCAAACTACTAATCTATCTTTCTCACTCTTGATGTCTCACAATCCCATTGTACTTTTCATAGATGAACTAAAAAATTTCCCCACCCTATTTTTTTGTTCCACCTTACTTGCACAAAGGAAAAAAAAACCTCTCTGACCGAGTTGCTTATTCACTCACCTGTATTACATCGATCTTTGCTCCATATCACTATGTAAAGGTCACCACTTGAATACTAACCTGAAAACTTAGTGTCAGATTCATACTCTTGAAAAGGATCTTCCTAGCAAGATCGAAACGTTGAGGAATAATACAAAATATTTGTTTATTTTGTTATTTGTTCCAATATACTACGCCGGGATTACACAAGTAAAACTACATCCTATACAATGAAATATAGAAGTTGTTAAGCTGTTAATCATCTATCTAGATAATTGACTTTCAACCGATGGGTGACAGGTTTGAACTCCACTCCACCTATTAGGTCTTGGTAACCACATAGTATCATTAGCTCCCATATACTAGATTTGGCACATTGCTTACTGTGCAGTCGTGGATATGTCTGTTGAGTGTTTTTTTCGTCCCGGTTGGGGACATCACTCGCCAGGCCCTCTAGTGGAATCCAAAGGGGAAACGACGAGTTGGGCGTCCAAGGGTAACATAGAGGAGATCATGTGAGGAAGAAATGAATGCTTGTGGACATTCGTGGAGCGAGGTTCACAAGACTGCAGAGAAGAGAATGAAATGGAGGCGTGCTACTTAAGCCCTATGTTCCACTAGGAACCCAAGGAAAAAAAATAATTTTCTAAACATTATTTAGAGTGTTGCTGATATTTATATAGATCGTATTTACAAGTGCCAACTTTAGATTTTCATCAACTTAAATATCTTGCTAAATTGGCATGACGATTGTTTCATGGACCAGTTTGCTCATAAGAAGACCAACGCTTATGTAACAAATAGTTTTATATCATTATATTTCGGTACTGTGAAATAAGTATTATAAATTGGAATTGAATACCATATTTATTGATAAAAACTTCTCGTTGAGTTATTCCTACTTTAGTTTACTTCCACTCAACTAAACTTTCGAAAACAAGATTTTAATTTAACACATAGGTTAATTAACATTTTATATATCAATGTTGAATTTGTGTCTGTTTGACTTTTCACTGCAGATTTTCGTAGTGTAGGAACTGCTACTACTTATTTTGTCTAAGGTGTCTAAAATGATCAAATGTGGATACTTTCCTATGACTCAAAATAGGAGTGAACTTACAACTTGATTGAAAAGCAAAATATTTTGTACATGTTATTCCTTTCAATACGCTATCTAATTATCTGAGATAGACGTGGTTTAGCAGATTAGTATTGATACTGGGTGATGACTGAAGGTGAAGTGAAAATTTGAACCACAACTGGATTCGAACTAGCTACCATCGGAATTTCCGGCCCGATGCCCCCCCTTTCTAATTCAGTTACTTTTGGATTGGGGTGAGAAGCCCTGACTAGAGAGTCGGTGAGAAAACGATCAAGCGGTAGTAATGCGTCACAACAAAATCACATGATAGTCAGACAAAACCCATAGTGGTTGAAGTGAAATTTTGATCTGGTGAGTATTCGAACCTTATAGCTCAGTTGGTAATGCGTAGTAGGAGGGGGGGACACTCAGTGGTCGCTGGTTCGAATCCAGTTGAATTCTCATTTCACCTTCAATTATCACTCAGTATAAATATATATGTGTGTATATATGCTCTGGGTGTCTGACTTCATCACATTTATCATTTCTTGACATTCTAAACTGTTTACCATTTCAATTTCAAGTTCTTTAAGCCTGGTAACCAGCTGGAAAATCTATCTGTGCCAAAGAATTTTTATTCTTCCTTTTCTGTATAGTACTATTTGATTTGAATTTCAAGAAATCATCATAAGTCGAGCTACAATAATGAGGTAGAATAAATGTTTCGTTAATTCTTAGAATAATTTGTGTGCAATTTTTCTTCATCTCCTCCATTCAATACTGACAATTTAATCCATGATGGTAGAAGTAATAGACATACTGTGAAGAACTCGTTTGTAGTTAACCCTATAGCTTCACTTGGTTACAATAGTTTTTGTCATTATTATTGCTAACAAAATGGTATACTTTACCTTTTTTTATAACTTATTAGCCAGATGATATATAGTCATTTTTCTTTCTATTCAATCAGATTAAAGTGCATCCAAATGGAAGACTGCTGCATTATTCCTATCCTGAAGGTCATACATCATATTGGTTTCACAGACTTAGAATTTCTATCAATTTTACTACCTGTAAGGATTTTTTAACTGTTGGATTTATACCTGAAGAAATTACACAACCATCGTTGTTACCATATGTAAGTTTTTCGTTCAAATAATAACTTATCATTTTGATTATCTAAGATAGCCGTAGTTTGGCAGACTAGTATTTTATACTAGGTGATGATTGAAGGTGAAATGAAAATTTACACCGTGGTCGGATTCGAACCAGCGAGCACTGGGTTTCCAGTCTGATACTCTACCAGTTGGATGCGCACTCCTGAGGAGTCCTGTACTCAGATGAAACAGCTGTCCAGTGCTCCCAGGTTTGCAATGTTCCTCCAACTGATCTTAGTCTATGGTGAATACCTATGGGAAAAACAACCATTTCGTTTGAAAATATTATTCTGTTGGTGACTTCGTTGAAAAATTATATGCTAAAAATTCCATAGTGTATCAAACATATTGTTTGGAATAAAGTGATTATTATTAGTAGTATCGTTTCTCAAAAATGATTTTTTTTTTATTAATCTGTATAAGACTGAGTATAAAAGCATAAATACTACTTCATACGGGCAGCTGAAACCAAAAACAGATACTAGCAGATACTTAAAACAAAATTCTGTTTGTTGATGAAACTATTTGAGATATTTCTGACTTGTCAAACTAGTATTATTGATAGTAAATCTGTAGGAGATGACTTCGAACCAGCAGGTCATGAGTTCGAACCCAGCTTCACCTACAAAGGTTTGGACAGCCAGGTAGTATTTATCACTAGCCTTCACTGCCTACTGCAATAATGTGCAAAAGGGTGGCTGAGTGGATTTCGATTTCGATTCGAGTATTATTGATAAGAAGTGATGGTTGAGTAGTGAAATGAAACCTGGATTGTGGCAAGATTCAAACCAGAAGCCTTAGGATTGCCATTTTGACACTTTACCATCCAGTCAATAGTTCAATCTCATCGCTTAGTTGTTGAAGTCCTGGTTTGGTAGTCCAGAGGCCACTGGTTCGAATACTACCACGAATCATTTTTTAAAATTTCACCTTCGATTATTAACCCATGTTAGTAATTTTTATCTGTTGCTATAATTATGATAATTTGGGTGGTTATGGCTAGCACAAGAATCCAGGACGCACGTTTCGCCCTATTTGTGACTCGTCAGCTGGATGTACCTGCACCCCAGTGATGTTGTTCCCACTGAGACTCGAACATTGTACCCATCGCTTCAACCGCCAAGGCGTTATCCTATATGCCACGGGGGAACAATAGCCACTTCCTGTACAACGAGTAGTAGTTACTATTATTTATTGACATACTTGTTATTTTCCGTTGTTTTGTTGGTTTGAATTCTTCGACCTCTTTATGCTCTATAATTTATAAAAATTAAAGTCTCAGTATATATTCAAAATACGTCTTGGTAAGGGAAATACATATGATACAGTAAGGTAAAATACCTTTACTGGTGACTTGCGTATATGATTTCACCTCATAGGTAATCTATTTTCCTAGGCAGGAAAACGCTTCTTACCCCTATTAAGAACTACGTAACTTGTGATTAAGTATGATATGTAGGAAGAGACGAACAGATGTGTACCGTGGTATATCAGATATGGTGAAGGTTAAAGTGTCATGCTAGCACTCAATTAGTATCAGTAGGAGAAAGTAACTATGCTGTTAGTTTGAAAAATGAAGTGTTAATATTTATGTTATACGAACAGTATTTCTACCTGTTATTATTCGTAAAAGCTAAAACTGCTCCAGTTTGGAAGTTTGTGGGGATTTAGTAATTTTTTTCAAGTTGGTATTCATCATGGACTGAAATCAGTTGGAAGAACATTGGGAATCTGGGAGCACTAAACAGCTATATCGTCCTAGTATGAGGCCCCCAGCAGTGCACACCCTTGACCCCGCAACACCAGATATCGAACCCAGGACCTTAAGGTTCCACGGTCAGCATGTTACCATTGAGCCACTGTGTCAGAATGCAATGATCCATATTTCCAACTGCAGTCTGTTCATGAAATAGCATGACTAGTGGTTCAATGGTAACGTTCTGGAAGCGAGACCTGAAGGTCCTGAGCTTGATTCCTGGAGGGGCATCAGTGAGCACGGCTGAGGAGTTCCACACTGGGACGAGACAGCTATCCAGTGCTCCCAGGTTTACAATGTTCCTCCAACTGATGTCAGTTCATGAGGAGTACCAAGTAAAACTACTTATTCACCCTAATCCGTATACGTCTTGATATGTGAGATATGTTAGTGCTGTGCAAAAAGGTTGATTCAAAGAAGTGCTGATAAACACTCAAGTAGATATGCATTTTGACTGTCATATTATTGCCATCTACTAATCACTTAAATGAGTATGCATGAAAGAGTTCAATAACCTTAAAACACTCTTCACTGACCTCTTTGAGAAGAGGTCAGTATTACTGTATGACATCACAACTAGGTTCTACCAGAACTTCTCAAAGTGGATCAGTTTTTGAGTAAGCACAATGAAATAAAGATATCTGCAGAAATATGCTTCAATGCACTACTGAATAGTACAAGAGATGGTAATCATTTGAGAAATGTTTTCTTTCCTCTGATGAGATCAAATGATAATTTATCATGAGACTTTGTTTGTTAAAGCTTTAGTAAAGTTCTTAATTTCCATTAAGTTACATCTAGAATAATACTGTTCCACAAAAAATCTATACAGACACAATAAAAATACCATATTCAGTCAATAAACACCTTTCTGAAGTATAATATGATACATAGATGCAACAAGCTATGTGCCTGAAAGCGTTTGATTTTATGCGGTATCTTTGTTCAAATCAGAAAGTAAGTTTTTGAATACTTTTTTTGATGAAGCACTTTGTGTACTTCAATGTACTAAACTGAGATGAATCAAATTGATTATTTACCAATTACCCCAATCTTTCTAACATTTATTCTTTGATTGCAAAGATTTCTCCTCACTTCTAGTCTTTAATCCAATAGAATTTGACTATTGTTTGTAATATGTTTAGGTATCATATTCTTGGATGATGATTGGTTCTTTTGAATTTTTAAGTGCTTTATCTACCTATCTACATCTCAGAATAGTATTGAAACTGTAGACACTTTTTTAATGTATGCATATCATTTAATTTTATGAAGTCACTTCATCTAACCTTAGTATCTGACTGATTTTAATCAAGCTCAAAGATTTTTCTTTTAAAAATTATACTCAATTTGACAGAAAAAAATCTCATCAGAAACAAATTAGACAATCACTTCATTTAAAATTTTTATTACTGTCGAGAATAATAATACAAATGAGAGTTTCTTAAATCAGAGAACCACCAACCACCAACAATCATCAGATGTAAACTTTATTTTTGGAAGTGTCCTTTTACAGATTTTGTCGTTTATCGCTTAAAGCTCTTCTTTCTGAAAGATTTTAATTACTTGTTACAAACTATTTTTGTACTACAGAAGGGGTATTTACAACATCAACAGCAAGGTTAACAAATATCCACAAATTACCAGATTTATATAGATTACAATGACCTTGACTATTCCAAGGCCTCTCTAGGTTTAAATTTTATTGATTTTTTGTCTCTTCAACTAACCTGATGCTTACACGACGTTAATTCACGTGTTTTTTTTCCCGAAATGTCGAAACAACGTGATTGGTTAAAAAAGGCTTTAAGCATGAAAATTATGTTAATCTTTCTGTACACTGACAACAACCATGAACTTGATTTCGATGGTTAATCATAACCAATTGATTCAATCTTCAAAAAGGAAACCGTTTGAACCAAACTATTCTTTAACACTTACAGTTTTTTTTCTCCATCTGATCTCAGATTTCATAACCATTACCAAGGTGTTAAAAATTTTTTAAGTTATGATCAATTTACTGAACAACGTTTAAAGTTAAGATTTCTTGATTTATATTTCTCTTCAGGAAATAAATGTGACTTGTTCATCGATATTCCCACAAATTATTGATTCCAAGCACCGTATTGTATCATTGATCTGGCATACGGAATCTGGTTCAGTTGATGAAGTGAAATCTCAACTAGATGTTCAAATGTCAGCATATATGCGGTTCGAAGGAAGTTTCAGTCTTTTGGATAGTGAGTAATTAATTTAGTGAATCATACTATAATGCTTTATGCTCTAACAAACCGTTTTTTACGTTTATTTACACATTGTACACTAGGTGGACAAGTAGTGATTGCATACAGTTAGTTCCCTTTATAAATTTTTGAAAAGCGAGAAAAAATATTGTGGGATGAGTCGGATTCACTTCGTGTGCTCTAAATCTTCCACATAAGCAATCAATTTAAAATTTTCTACAGTAAGCTATCAGTGTTCAGCATAAGTCATTTGATACATTTCAGTAGAAAACAATACTTAATACACCTTTTAAAGCTAAACATCAATAAATATATGCGGGAACATAGATGAATGACAAAGTTCATGATCTAAACAACCAATACAGAGAACAAGTCAGACTTTGAAATCAATCAGTAAACAGTGAAGTGAAATAAAAATCGGGTCAGCAGTCTGACCTCGTAGCTCAGTTAGTAGGAGCACCTGGTTGGTAACCCTGTGGTCGCAGGTACGAATCCGGCCATGGTCCAGATTTTCATCTCACCTTCAATCATCACCCAGTACAAATACTAGTCTGGCTATCTTAGATAGTCAAATCATACGTAAACACAAAGCAAAATACGACGTGATAGTAGTACTGGAGTGTGATTATAGCTCTAGGTGGTAGGAATTCTAATGAAAGGGAGAGAGCAACAAAGTATGTTAGTTAATGGTAGACGAATAGAATGGGATGTGATAACAAACATCATAAAAGTAAATCAAAAATGATGGGAATATGAATAATGTTTGAGGATAATATGTAAGACAATAAGGTGAAAGAATGAAATAGTAAATAAAGCCGTAGGAAAAGAACAACTCACCAAGGCAATGCAAGGTGAACTACAAACTCCTTTTGTACACATAAGTCTAGTTTCAGTCGGCGGATTGTTACTGCTTCTGCATAACGTAGCAATCTACTATTTCTTTGTCTGTTAATTGCCTTAATAGCTAAGTTTGAGTCAACAGCATGACCTGTATCAAGGACGTGCTTGCCAATGGTGCTGGTTGGTAGCCTTCCACCTCTCAATGATAGGCTTTTCGGTAACATGTTCAGAGATTCAATTAGTGAGGACCCTCTCCGTTCTTCCGACATACATGCTACTGCAAGTACAGGTGAATAAATAAATATAATTGGAGGTAACATGAGGCCATTCATCTATCTTCCCATATATATATATATATATATATATATATATATATTGGTGCTTAGGTTTAAAAGATGTATCAAGTGTTGTTTTTTACTGAAATATATCAAATGACTTATGCTGAACACTGATAGCTTACTGTAGAAAATTTTAAATTGATTGTGTATATGGAAGATTTAGAGTACATGAAATGAGTTCGACTCATCCCACAATATTCATTGTTCAGGAAGTTTGAAAATAAAATAACTATCCGGAAAAACTGTTAAAAAGGACCGAATAAAGGTACGAAAAAGCCAAGCCATTAAGATTGGATAAGTACCATAGTACTTCCTTATCGAACATCCACTTCAGAGGAAATAAGAGGTATTCTTAATAATTACAACATCATAGCATTCTTTAGGGTGTTGAACACATTACACTTACACCTTGTGTAAATTAAAAGATCTGATTCCTCATTTGGAACAACAAAACTGTGTTTATAAGGTAGACTGTAGTGAATGCGATGCCACATACACTGGAGAGGCATCACATCAAGTACTAACACGTCTAGCCGAACACGGTTGAAGTTCCAAGAAACCACCAAAAATTCCTATGATCTAGAAAAACTTGAACAAAGCTCTGTCATCGCTGCTCATGCCCTATACATTCAAGTCATAAAATATCTTTCGAACAGACAAAAGTCCTACAAAAGGGTTTTCTTTCTCACAAAAGCGGACCATTGCAGAAGCTTTGCATACCTGTTCGCATCCTTCTTCGGTCAACATCCAGCTAATATGGCAGACATTAACGACTTGCATAGGCATGTGAATAGAAGGCAGAACACAGTTTCATTCCACATGATTTATTCCGGATTTACTCTTACTTGAATAGTTTTCGATGTTATTTCGCCAAATCGTCTTAACCATGCCAAAAAATATTGGTTGTATTTTAATAACTTCAAGTTGTTATTCATCGTAGACTGACTGCTTTGCACCGTCAATATGTAAAGTGTTTTCACCTACATTCATCCTTGGTGGTGAACCGTTAGAATTTTTCTGAAAGGTTGTGTACTGGAATAGTTTTGTCATACATGGTGGAGGTGTGACTGATGAGATTTATAACGGTACATTGAAAGCCAGAGTGACATACGCCAACGTGTGGATGTAGGCAGGTTTCCTCTTTGCCTGTGAAATCTAGCTTCTCTAGTCTGAAGATGTCCAATAACTCAGTGTTTTCGGCCATCATTGTCTCTGTAGGACTGCTTGCATCCGGCGGAAACACTACGTAATTAATTCTAAGATGAGGCAGCGTGTGTTTAGACACGATGGAAATTGTGACTTATCAAATAAAATTACACTGTAACATTGACTTTAGTGGCTTGTATATTTGTTACGAAAGTCGTCCTAGTGGTTCAAGTACGATTGCTGTTCACTGGTCTTGGGATCAGTTTGAATGGACGAGACGTTGGTATGGTATCTGTTGTTACATCGCAACCCCGTAAATGAGGTCTGAAAGACCATGTTACTCAGAGGTTTCAGATGGTTTTAGATATGGCTCGGAATGCAAACTAATGGTGATCAGTTTATAGCTCTTTGCTTTGATTGTTTGCAGTTGACTGAAAGCCTCGTTCAGATAGCCTCCAACGAACTAACACCTACCAAACTCCACCGCGATGGTGAACCTCCTAAGTTAGTGACCACATTGCAAAATAGTCAACAGAATTTAATCAGTACTCGGAACTAGATAACACGAAATTAATACAGTAGTAAAACTTGAACACTATGGTAGTTTATAAACCCATTTTAGTCCGTTTATTAGAAATGATACTTTTCCTTCACTGTGTGACATCTTTAATAAACAGACTAAAATGGTGTTATATTGATCTTTGTGACAAGCAGAAGAATCCAGGACGCGCGATTCGTACAACTGAGACTGGTCAGCTAGATGTACCTGCACCCCAGTGAGTAATGTTGTTCCCACTGAGGCTTCAAACGCCAGAGTGTTATCTACTAAGCTAATGGGGCAAGATAGTCACCTCTTGTGCAAAGGGTATCAGTTGTTGTAATGATACCTGTAATTTTCCGTTGCTATACAGGTCTAAATTGCTAGACCTACTACGGACTAAAATGGTTTTTATTTCAGCATAAATGTGATGTGCTCTCATCTATTTTCATACTGTAAAACACTTCCATTGAATGACTGCCAATTATAGACTTATTGAAGGAGGAAAGTTTTACCAGTTAGCTAAACGATAACACATACTAATTATAAGCATGCATCTTTTCACATGAATTGTTTACTTCAGATATCAGTGATCATCATTGGAACTTCCAGAAACTCAAATCGGATTATAAATTAGTATCATGGGACTTGAATGTTCTCGGTTAATATAAACAAGGGTATCAATTTTCCCTGTTGAGTATGAAACTGAGATGAAATAACTGGTTAAACTTATTTCACATTCGACTGTTCTCTAACTGGTTTTCAGCTATGATTAAAAGTACACTGAAATAAATGGATTCCACCACAAACTAACCATTTCAGGAACTTAATGCATGATAATTCATCAGTGTAGGAGTAATTATTTACAACCTTTTCTGCCATTTCATTTCCACAAATTAATTAGTCATTTAGGTGCAAAGGACAGTACAGTTTAAGTTATACAAAAAATCTCCTTGATGATTGGTAACAAGCCCGAAAACTTGGTACACAGCTTCCTGCAGATTGCCTCCATTCAAATGCACCTCGATGGTGAGCCTCCTAGCTTGTTGGCCACATTGAGAAAATGGTGGACAGAATTCAATCAGTACTCAGGACTAGTCAACATGAAATTGGTTACCTTCTAGTGACTAATCAGTGTATCTAATGTAGTCCAGCAGCTGGTCAATCGCGGCCCGAATACCTCAGTAGTAATGTCCCTAACTACACCACGGGTTGGAATCTCAGGTGGGACATCAGTTCTGTCGGGGTTGCGGATACGCCTTGTTGACGAGTGCCAAGAAGCACGAAACGTAGGTCGACCACAACTTCCAGCCGAATGCCTCTAACCAACTAATTGTCAGATATATATTATGGTAAGACCCTAGTTATGATTTATAACAGTCATGACAGCAAATGGTAAAAGAAGGAATTCTGGAATATAGGCAAATTCCTTTAACCAACTAACAAGATTGTACTTAGTATATCTTATCGTTTAACTAAGTGGTAAAGCTTTCCTCCTTCAACAGGTCTATAATCGGCAGTCATTCAATGGAAGTGTTTTACAGTATGAAAATAGATTAAGGAACATCACGTTTCTGCTGAAACAAAAACCATTTTAGTCTGTTTATTAGAAATGTCACACAGTGAAGGAACAGTATCATTTACTAGGTAATATTTCGGACATAATTGACTGTCCATATTCATATCAGGTAACTCCACAACTCTCAGGCAGTCTATTTCTTTGTAATGACAAGGGTAGTAGTTTCCCATATATGTAGGACTGGTGCAGAATCATTTCTATTACATGTATTTGGTGTTGGTTTGGTAAACAAAGATTCGGTTATTTATTTCTCCCTCTACTCAACTATGTTAGTTTTTAACACTGTCGCTTTATCCCTCGATACTGTGTAATTTTGTGTAATTGCATGCAGAGGTATGGCCAAGCTTTTCCTAAATTTCATAACTCATTAGAATTTGCTAGTCTTGATCTAGCCAAGGTTTTGTTCTCCGTTATTCTAATCGATCCTGGTCGACTACCTTGAAGCTATATATTTGACCTCTCAATCATTGCAAGGGATTTGGTAAACTAAATTATTTTGCTTAATTGGATTAGTTGGATCTTACAACCTACAAAGCTTGTTTCTAAGCGATTCTGTTGGTTTAAATACCACTTTAATCCCAGCTAGCCTTGTTGACGATCCTTCGTAATGATTCAGAGGTGCGTTCCTTGTGTAGTAGCACAGCAAACGCTTTGAATTATCTCTCAACCCTGTCACCCTTATTACTGTTATTAGTAGCACCTTTACTAACAACACTTGTGTTATTTCTGCTACTACTGCTCATATTTTCCTTTCTACTCCTTAAGAATATATTGATAAATTTAGGCTGGTAGTTATCGAGATGGAAGGTATTCTTGACGTGTCTAATTCCTTGTCGTAAATTTTCTGATGTACTATCAAAGCATTTAAGTAAACCTACTTTAACCGAGATGGGGTGAGGTAATTTGAAGTCTAGGTAGCGATTGGAATGGGAAAGTTTCCTATCGACACTAGTCTCTAAACTTCCATCTTGATTTCGTTTAATCTTGCAATCCAACATTGCTAGTTCACCTTCATTACTTTCTTTTGTTGATTGAATCCACACCAAATACATGCAGTAATAGAAATGATTCTGCACCTGTCCCATATATGTGAAAAATTCTACCACCCTTGTCATATCACAAAGAAGGAGAGAGAATTACAGACTATATACACTCTGTCTCAGAGTTATGGAGTTACCTGATATTGTTGAATATGGACAATAAATTGTGTCCGAAATGTTATCTAGTATATGATACTGTTCTTTCACTGTGTGGGACATTTCTAATAAACAGACTTTAATGAAAGATGAAATCAGTTATAATCCAGTGATCAATCAATGTAGTTGATTGCTTTGTTGTTTCTTCTGTCAATAAAAATGAAGACAAAAGTAGTGTATGCTTCTTAAGATGTATTACTAAGACTACTTCTTCAATAACTCATTTCTATTTTGTTTCTGTACTCCTTAATATTATTATACTATATAATATAGCATATATTTTAGTTTCTATATTGTGTCCAGTTTATATTTTTGTAGAGAATATATTTTTCTAAATTTTATATCACCAAGTACCTTGTTTCTTAGTTGAAAGCGTTTTAACCAACTCTAAATTTTCTTATCTTATATCCCATAATAAAGTTTAACAATTTTCCTGTCAACGCTTAATTTCTCTTATTTTTTTTGTTTTACTGTGTATATAAAAGACATGAAAACATGTACATTCTATAAGAATATTGTATAAATTACAGGATAAATTACAGGACCCAGTGGCTCAATGGTAACGCGCTGGTCGCGGAACCTGAAGGTCGCGGGTTCGATCCCTGCTGGTGGGGTCGTGGGTGTGCACTGCTGAGGAATCCCATACTAGGACGAAACAGCTGTCCAGTGCTCCCAGGTTTCCTTTGTTCCTCCAACTGATGTCAGTCTTCGATGAATAACAACTTGAAATAATTCCAAATCTCCACAACTCCCTCAAAATTTACAGGATAACTAACAAATACTCTTTTGCTTTAGTTATTTAAAAGACAATAAATTATTCCTTAGATATTAGACTGTCATTGACTAAACAAATAAAGACTGAGGAAGCTTAATTATCATATTGCTTACTTCTGTTCTTCTGATGAAATATTCATCCAAATGTAGAAAGAAATTCAACTAAATTGAAACAGTTAAGGATTGATAAACACTCAGGATGACTTTTGTCAATAATAGCATTAATTATATGCATTAATGAATATTTTTAAGAATAATTATAGATTAAATTTTTTAAAGTTTTAATATTTTATTCTTATAGAAATGCGTCGATGTGAAGTAGGTTCAGGATTTTGGTGTGGGAATGAAACTGCTGTCTGTGTTTATGGTCAAATGCGTTGTGATCAAGCAGATGGTTGTTTTGATGGTGGAACAGATGAAATCGGTTGTCCACCTATTCGTAATTACACATATAGTAAGCTTTTTTTTTTATTAGTTGATACAATATAAAGATATTAATAAATGTTTATTATGAAATTCATGAAATTTCTTTTTCATCTTCATTATGCATTAGATCAACTAGACCCTTAAATTATTCCTAATTTCAAATAAACCTTTAATTAATTTACTGAGTAGTCAATTTATTGCCTATTCACTCTATCAAAATGCATTAGTGTTAAAAAGAATCATCACTGGCTCAGATTAGTTTCTGGAATAAAATCGCTTCCGGTCAATCTGTCAACTGAAAATTACTTAGCGCAAGTTATAAACTAGTAGTATACTCTACTGTTATGCATCATATCTGGAAATTGATCAATCTTGGATAAAACTTATTACTTCTAGAAATAAGGATAACTATTCTAGATAATTGAATTTTGAGGGAGTTGTGGAGATTTGGAAATATTTCAAGTTGTTATTCATTGTAGACTGACACTAGTTGGAGGAACAAAGGAAATCTGAGAGCACTAAACAGCTGTTTAGTCCTAGTATGGCACTCCTCAGCAGTACGCACCCACGACTCCGCCAGGGATCGAACCCTCGACCCTCAGGTTCCGTGGCCAGCACGTTACCAAAGAGCCACTAAGTCAGAATCCAATGGTCCATATTTCCAAATTCTGTTAACTCCCTCAAAATTCAATTGAACTGGTGCTCATTGGTGACTAACTTCGAAAGGTATTCCCGAAGTTCCAATGGGAAGTCGTGACCTGTGGAGTCAAAGCCTGATGGTCCTGAGGACAGTTACTTAACGATGACATTGGGTGGCGGTTACGCTATATCGTGAGCTAACAGGAGTTGGAAATATGGACCATTGGATTCTGACCCACTGGCTCAATGGTAGCCTGCTGGCTACGGAACCTGAGGGTCGAGGGTTCCATACTAGGACGAAACGGCTGTCCAGTGCTCCCAGGTCTCCTTTGTTCCTTCAACTAGTGTCAGTCTACGATGAACAACAACTTGAAATATTCTAGATAATGTTGAACATTGAAATCAGATTATACATAAGTACTAATGTTGTTACTTGTTTTTATCCTGTCGTTGACTGTACCGAATTGATGTATATTCTCCCACTTTCAAGCATAAAAGTAGTAAATAAACAGACACCAATCAAATTCGGTTCAATCAACGACAGGATACTACAAGTAATAAAATTAAAAGTACAGCCTTCGCACAATAAGTAGCTATTGTGACTCAGTGGCCTAGTGGATAACGCTCTGCCGTTTGAAATGATCTATCATGAGTTCGAATCTTAGCAGGCACAACATCTTTTACCGGGAGACAGGTACATCCAGCTGACGAGTAACAAATGGGACGAATCGCACGTCCTCGATTCCACTACTAGCCATTATCCATCATTAATATAACATTGAAACACAAGCAATATGGAGGCATCCATGCAGAAGCCCATATTCTAATAGAGACAGATCAAATTCGGTCCAGTCAACGACAGGATAAAAACAAGTAACAACATTAGTACTTATGTTTAATCTGATTTCAATGTTCAACATTATCTAGGATATTTCAAGTTGCTATTCATCGTAGACTGACATCAGTTAGAGGAAAAAAGGAGACCTGGGAGTACTGGACAGTCATTTCGTCCTAGTATGGGACGAAACACGCGTCCTTGGATTCCACTGTTGCCTACTATCTGTATTTAATATACGTATTCACATTACTGGATTCAATATAATTAAGTAAGTCGACTTGGCTGAAATATAAGATTCGAAACATTACGGAGGTGGAAGTATGATTTTTTATTACAAAGAACGTGTAACGACTATCAGAAACTCTTGTATTGTAAACTGTTTAGATAATAATCAAGAAATAAAATATACAAGAGTAATTAACGTGTTAGTTATACGTTCATTCTTAGTATACAAACATTAGTTTATTAAAAAGTGTTATTAAGAATGAAAATTCTTGAGTATTACTGTCAGTTATAACAATAAGTATTCAAGTAATGTAAAGACACCTAAATAGGAGCGCATACATCAACAGAGGTCAATCAGTTTAATCCTATATAAACAAGGAAGGATTATATACATTAAGAAATAATATACAGCTTTCATTGTACCTTATATATATGTAATATAAACAGATTTCTTATGAATATCTTGATATATAAGTAATATATATGTTGATAACATTATTTTGAAGAGATATTTTATACGGTAAACTATCCCCTATTGATTCAAGCTAAGTGGGATACTTTAATCTATGAAATTCTGTAAAATACCTTTGGGGTCATATATATATATATATATATATATATATATATATATACAAATATTCATATTATCAAAGAAAATGAACTTGATCAAAATTAGCCTCAAAGATTATATGAATAAGAATAAATAATCTAAAGGAAAACTAAGGTATTATTCAGTTATAGAAGAAAATGTGATAAAATAAAATAATTGAAATAATAAATTAATTAGATAGATTATTGGAGCATGGTTAATGTAAGAAATTCCGGAAATGTACAATAGGAATGTTTATTAGAAAAATATACATGACAAAATCTCATAACTTTGAAATGAATATGTAGAATGTTTGGAAGTAGAAAAGTTGATTACAAAATCATATAACAATAGCTATTATGTGCTTCTATGTCATTAAGCACATGCAATAAACAAACCAACATTGAATTATAATTTGTCACAGTATTCTTTTGATGAATCGATGAAAAGACCCTAGAAGATTTGGATTTTGCCAATAATGATTTATGTCTAATGTCTTGTCGCATAAGCTAGAAGATCTATGGGCCAAAACTGATAAGTTGACAGAAGATTCAGGGCAGCAAAAATGGGACTTCCTTCAGGTGAACATAGATGAGACAGGTGATGAAGATACCCACCCAACAACAACAACGAGCATCAATCACTATGAACGGGAGAAACTTAAAGAAAGTAGTCTCTTTCACCTACCAACCTACCTACCTACCCAGGCAGCATCGTCCTAACTACAGATGTCGCAGGCACAGATGACCATGCCAAAGCCAGCCAGGATAGGAAAGACAGCAAGGTAAGCCTTCCTGCATTAATCCGAAATCAGTGTGATCTGCTGCACTGCACTGCACTGCAGTCAGCATTAAGCCTCAACAACATCCGCATTTCCAACACCAATTCAGTCAAGTCAAGTAAGTCAGTGCTTCTATGTGATGCTTGAGAGACTTTGCGAGTTACGAAAAATATTTTCAACAAACTCCAGACATACATCATCAACAGCTGCCGCCTACTCTCACTCCATACTGAAGATCAGATCAGATCAGATGACCAGAATAATAAGAATGAGGAGCGAGGAACTCACTGTGGCTGGCAACAAATCAATCAAGAGCCTATCGTCCAACAAATATGTAGAAGAAGAAAGTGGAGATGGATTGTATTGGATATACACTGTGAAGATTATTTGGGGACATCACGCGCCAGGTTCTCAAGTGGAACCTAAATGGAAAACGATGAGTTGGGCGTCTGAGGGTGACATGGAGTAGACGGTGTGAGAAAGAAATGAAAGTTTATGGACAGTCGGGGAGCTAGGTTAAAAAGACTGTAGAGAAGAGAGTGAAGTGGCGATTTACTACTGAAACCCTATGTTCCACTAGGGACCCAAGGGACTAATAATAATAACAATACTAATAATGATAAACACTATCCTTTTACTCTAATATTAAACTATGGGGCTTTTCAGAACTACCAGTGAGATGTTAATGATAGATAGCGGACGCGCGTTTCGTCCTATTTAGGACTCGTCAGATGGGTGTTCCTGCCTCCCAGTGAGTGATATTGTTCCCACCAGGACTCGAACTGATATGAGATATTCAAGGAATTTACAGAGTCAAAGAAGAGTTAGTCTCCCAACAAACAGTTTCCTTTATACATAATTCTTGTTCCATAATTTTAATGAAGAGTGTTTTGTTTGTTCTTCAAAGACAACGATAGACTTGACATGATAATTGATTTGGATTGTAACATACAGCTTAAAAAGACATCCTTTATGGTCATTGAATAGTTAGTCACAGCCAGATGCAGTTATGAAAAGCCGCTGATGGGTTTCACCTCCCTTGTACTCAGTCATCCTAGCAGGTTTTACTTCGTACACCTATGGAGATTTATCATTAGGCACTGGAGTTAAGTCAATCCATAGGAACAGACAGATCTATACATACAATTGTATGTATGAATATATTGTCATCATAGAAACGCATGACTAGTATTAACTTACAAGTTTATAGTTAGGACAATCATCTCATGAAACTTATTCAAGATATGTGTACCAGATTATGGAGAACAATAAATATATGAAAAGTTACAATATACAAATCAGTCAATCAGACAGAATTGAATTAAATGGGTCTGAAACTCTCAATCTGACAGTCTTTTAGAAGCCTATAAAATCACAGCAATAGTAAAACAATATTGGACTAACATCATGTCATTACAAGGTATTCCAGTATGTGAATTAATGATAATCCATGGAAATAATCAGAAATATGTAGTATAATGTAGGAAGGAAATGTTTTCAAGCAAGAAATACATGCGTTAGGTATATCTGTCTGAAAATTCAGAACTGAAATGCACGAAAAACAAGAAGGGAATAAAAATATCTGAGAAAAAATCTGGTAACGAGAAACATGAAAAAAAATCATTATTTTGAAGTACCTGGTTATGTGTTCTACTTTTGTAGACAGAGTTAAGGAAATATATAAATGGACTAGGTATATGATCTTAGTTTAAAGAAATAATGATTATGTACTACATCTATAACTTTCTGTTACAAGTTACAGACATACTCTTATAGAAAGAAATTCTAGTGTGCCTGGTAAGGCGAAATTCACGGGAATTTCTATAATAACCCCGCTTGCGTCTATTTATGATTCCTTCTCATTAGTTAGCGGAACATGACGATGCTTACACACAAATATGTAGTGACAATCAGTTGTCATCCTATCAAAATATTTGATAAATGGAGAGAACATTCATTAGCTTGGTTGGATGAAATAGTCTTGCCTGACGTACTAGGACTAATTGGAACTTTCTTAATTTAGACTATTTTGGAGACTGTAGGACCTCGTGAAATCTTATTTTGTTCTCACTCCTTTCGACAATAACTAAAACTTCTTCAAGTACTTGAGGCTCATCTCTGTTGCATCCGTTCGGTCTTTGAAGACCCTGAATGAATCATTTTTTAGTGCCCCTAATATTTTACACTGCCTAGTATAAGCTATGACACGAGGTCTTTCTGCTCACAACAATAGTCTAGTGTTTATTTTCCAGAAAGCTTTGCATGACACAATACTGAGAGTTTGTTGACTTTTGAAATTCCTTCCGTTATCCCATCTTATCTGTGAAAAATAGCGGACTATCAACGTATTAGTCAAAGATTTGAAGTTAGCTGTGTTAAAATTATTTTCAGCTGGATGATGATTGAAGATGAAATGAAAATTTGAACCGCTGCTGCATTCGGACCACCGACCACCGGGTTTCCTTCGGCCCAATGTTCCACCAACTGTACGGGGCCCGACTTCTGACCAGGTGTTTATTTCACTTCAATCCCTACGGGTTTTGCCTGTCTATCATGTGAATTCGTGATGCGCTACTATCGCTTGATCGTACTCATATTGACTGCTTAGTTAAAGCTTCTCATCCAAATCCAAATCGAACTGAATTAGAGAGGAGGGGGAACATCATATTGATTATCATCTTGACTATGTGAGATAGCCGTAGTTTGGCAGACTTATATTTATACTGAGTGGTGATTTAAGATGAAATGAGAATTTGAACCGCTGCTGGATTCGAACCAGTGACCACCAACAACGTGAAATATTCAATTCCTATGAAATATGCCGACCACTAAACACTAATAAGGTATTGTAAATCAGTATTCCGGGTGTAAATGCAGTGATAAATAGTGCAATAAGTGCTAGGTTTGTGAGGACATTAAAATGTACTTGATTAGCAAGTCTAGGATAAAACAAAACACGTAGTGGATCCATCCTACTGCTCGTTATGTTCTGAATATATTCATTGGATACATCACTTAGCTTATTTCAAATAATTCCTTTTCTTTTCCTCTTTATTTTATTCCTTGATTCTTTTTCTACTTTGGCGGCTGATAAATACTAGTTCAACCAAGACGTCCAATGAATAGCTGGTCAGTATATCTACCATGGACAGGTGAGTCAGTGATTTGCTACAGTACACAAAATATAGTCTTTCCAATAAGGGATATGTATACTTATTCATTTTCCGGGTTATTAATCTTAATACGGTATGTTATTCTACATCTAAATAAGGTATCATCCTCCGTAAACCCACTTTGGTAGAAATTTGTAGGCTCAAGACTTGGGTCATCGCAACTTCAATGATAACCACGGCCAACTGTTCTTGTAGACTATCAAGCCAGACTATGCATTATTAACGACGGTTTACCTGGTCTATTCTGATTGTTTACCTAAGAGGTTCAGAAAAACTTTGAACCGTCTACCCCTATTCTTGATAGAAATTGATTTTTAAGGCAGTATTCATCAAGGACTAATATCAGTCGCGGAACCGTTGAAAACCTGGGTGGACTGGATATCTGTCTCTTCCTAGTATCGAACTCCTCAGTAGAACACACTCACCATCCGGCGATGCAAAGAACTCAGAACCTTCAGGTTTCACACCAAATGCGTTAACCATTCATTTAATGGATTAGATTTCAATGATCTACAGTCTCCTACTTCTGTCAATTCATGATACAACGTGACTGTCCATCAAGATCTTCAGTTGGTATCCGTTTCGTTTCCGACTGGTTGACCTCACAGGTCACGCATGGTTTCTCATTACAACTTCGGGATATCCATCTGGAATCATGTCGCTAGTGATCACTATACAGTAATATGTTTTGAGGTTTATGAAGAACCATTGCAAATCTGGAAGCACTGGAAAATCCGTGATGAATGCAACCTTAAAAATAAAAACCCCACAAGTCTCAAAATACGTTACTGTATACTACCTATTTGTGATTTGCTTCCAAATGGATATCCCGAAGTTCTAGTGAGAAGCCATGACCTGTGAGGTCAACTAGTTAGAAGTGTAGCCGATGCCATCTGAAGACCTTGGGTGATAGTCACTCTACTTGGCCAACTGATAGAAGTAGGAAACTGTGAACCGTTGAACTGCTACTCAGTGATTGACTGTCTAACACTCTCGCCAGGAAGCCTGAAGGTCCTGAGTTGGATCCCTAGTGGGGTTTGGTCGTGGGTGCATACTCCTGTGGAGTCCCACACTGGGGTGAAAAAGTACCTGTAAGTTTTTAGTGGTTCACCAGGTGATTTCAGTCTATAATGCCAACTACCTTAAAAGTTAAATTATCATTCGGTTCTATACTAGTTTATTTTATTTCACATTTGTTTTAGTGGGGATACATGAAGTAACACAGAGAAAATCAATAATTTAAGGCAGAAAATAATTCTCATGAGACTAATAATATTATACTAATTCATGAATATTGGATGAAAACGAGTAAAATGTCAAAACATCATGAATATTTAATTGTTTAAGTTATGATTTTTTTATTCAAAAGTAACCTTTTCAATAATTCTTTGAAGATAAAGGGATATGCCAACAGAGACCGGTCAGTTCGGTCCAATCAACGACGGTATAATACAAGCAATAATACTAAAACTATACCCGTCGCACAAGAAATGGTTATCGTGGGTCGGTGGTGGGGTGGATAACGCTTTGGAGTTTGAAGGGATCGCTCCCGAGTTCGAATCTCGGTGGGAACAATATCACTCACTGGGAGGCAGGTATATCCAGCTGGTTAGTGAGTCCCAAATAGGACGAAATGAGCATCCTGGATTCCACTGCTAGCCATTACCCATCATTATTATACATAAAGGGATAATGACGAATATAAATATGCACAGTTTAAGTTGAATGTCTAAGTTTTTCATGTCAACCAAAAAGGGAAAAGAGTACATGAATGTGATATTCTTATTTCAAGGTTTTGAAATGACACTACAATAAAATGTATAGAAGGTAAATATGATAATTTTATCGGATCAGTCTTCAGTCTGCTAACATACTTCTCTTTTATCAAACAGGAAGTATTAATTCATATGAATGTCTCATTTTCAAGCGTAATCCAACATGTATTGAACAATGGTTCCTTATTAAATTGTTTATTAGACATTAGCTGCAACTTTACAGCACTTTATTTGGTTTCATATGATAAGTGATTAGAGATACTTCGATTCTTTGAACAAAAGCCTAACTCAGAAAATAAGTATAACCTGACAATTTTTTCGTGATATTCAGAAAAATCCATGACTAACAAAATGACTATCAGATTTTGTCCATCATGGTGACATCATCATCATCCGGTAATTGTCACTGTTTCATTACCATGAAATGCGTCTATGACTGTCTGATTACAATCCCATTATTACTCTTCTAACGGAGTGTAAAATACACTGATTCTTTTTAATTATTCCAAACAATATTATTGATACAGTATGGGATTATCAGCATGTAATATTTTAACAAATTCACTTCCGTTAAATTTTGAGGGAGTTGTGGAGGTTTGGAATTATTTCAAGTTGTTATTCATCGTAGACTGACATCAGTTGGAGAAACAAAGGAAACCTGGGAGCACTAGACAGCTGTTTCGTCCTAGTATGGGACTCCTCAGCAGTGCGCACCCACGACCCCACCAGCAGGGATCGAACCCGCGACCTTCAGGTTCCGCGGCCAGCGCGTTACCATTGAGCCACTGACTAGTTTCGAGAAGTATTCCCGAAGTTCCAATGACAAGTCGTGACCGGTGGAGTCAAAGCCTGATGGCCATGAGGACAGATACTAAGCGTTGACATTGGGTGGCGGTTGCGCTATATATCGTGAGCTAACAGAAGTTGGAAATATGAAGCACTGGATTCTGACCCAGTGGCTCAATGGTAACGCGCTGGCCGCGGAACCTGAAGGTCGCGGGTTCGATCCCTGCTGGTGGGGCCGTGGGTGCATACTGCTGAGGAGTCCCATACTAGTCGGACGAAACAGCTGTCCAGTGCTCCCAGGTTTCCCTTGTTCCTCCAACTGATGTCAGTCTTCGATGAATAACAACTTGAAATTCACTTCCGAAACAATATTTTCGAACAAAAGGATGATTATAATAACAGCATTTAATGTGAGACAGTCGATTGGTGGTGGATTAGTGTCCGGTCTAGAATGGAGAATGATCTATAGAACGAGTGTATGTTTAGTGGTGGTGGTTCATTCAACCAGTTGAAGAATGTGTTTGTTATGACTAGTAGTGCAACCTAACAGTCTACGAGCGAAACGAATCGACTTTAACGCAGATTAGAACGTCAACCACCACCCCAAAAATACCACCAACATGTGAATACAAGAAGAGAAGACAGACCGTTGACAGCAAGCTTTTTACTATCTCAACAAAAGTCAATACAGTTAACAGTGATGTTGAATATATACCTTTCCAAACGACCTTGACAGCACTAAGTTCACTAATAGGTTAAAAGAGTTAACAACCAATCAGAGTCCAGCCTTCAGAGGAATGTGACAACACTATTGATAAAGCTTTTTTAAGGTTGTATGTAAGTATATCACGTAAAAGTTAGGCAAATTAGGGTATCTACCAGTGTTATTTAAGATAGGTATCCGAAGAATAGAAATATGATGCAATTTTATGCATTCAAAAGTCTATGACATTTTCCCTTCCTTTTGTTATACATTCAAATAATGGTCAGTTCAGAACATTTTAAAAATCCACATGAGTATATGATACGTTTGGAGGACATATTTGAAAAATTAAAACAAACTGAAAGCGAAGAATTCGATATAATATGTCTGGTCGAAGATTTTGTTGGTAGTACAAAGTTCAAGGATGCCGCTAGTTAAGAGTAATTACTGAACCTCATTAAATCGTTCGCTTTCTTTCTTACTTTTCATCAATTCATTTAAATCTACCATTCTATGGTATACTTAATCCGTATTACTAAAAATTTTCATAGTCAACCACCAGTCAATAACGCGATTTGTATCTCTTGAGAATTTAAACAGCACTAGGTCAAGAAATTTCAGTTATAATCTATACTGTTGTATAGCCAAAGATTTCAGATTTACCTCATCACAGTGTTATTGCTTGCATTATACCGCCGTTGATTGAACCCAATTGACCAGTCTCTGTTGACATATGGACTTCTGTGCGGATGTCTCGATATATCCAGCTGGTTAATGAGTCCCAAATAGGACGAAATGAGCATTCTGGATTCCACTGCTAACCACCATCCATCTTCTCTTACCTCATCACATCTAAAATTATTTCATTAGTCTTCAATTCTGGGTCATTGGCTATTAAGAATATAAGTGATTATGATAAAACAACTCTACACTCCTAGAACTATCTCATGTTGTGGTGATTTACTTCTATTTCTCTTAACTGTGAAACATACAACACTCATAAGTGGATAACCACTCGATACACGTATTTTTAACTGATCGTTCTGATTTAATTTAACCATTCCTACCTACTATGGAATGGGTCAAAAACGTGCATCACAACGTTGACAAAAAAATCAACGAATATGAAAGGGATGAATGTAAAAGCCATGAATAGATCATTTGATCATATAGGCACAAGTAATACCCTATAGGCCTACCCTTCCTACTGGATCTTTAGTCAGACACGTCTGGTTTAGCCTGCTGTGTAGTTTCAATGCCATATATAATAACCTGCTTAATGGCTAGCAGTGGAATCTAGGATCCGTGTTTCGTTCTGTCTCTGACTTGTCACGTGGGTATACCTGCATCCCACCTCATCATGTAACGTTGTTCCCGCTGAGGCTCGAATCCATTATTCTTTGCTTCAAACGCCAAAGCACTATCCACTAGGCTACTGGGGCAAAACAGCTACCTCTTGTACGACAAGTATCAGTTGTTTTGTGACACTTGTAATCTCCTGTTGCCATGTTGGATTCAAGTCTCAGTGGGAACAATATCACTGATTAGGGTTCAGTCATATCCAGCCCATAAGTCTAAAATAAAACGAAACGTGCGACCTTGGTTCCACTACTATCCACCACTCAGAAAATTATGACAATGAATACTCGAACAGTATCGAAACATCCACATGGGAGCCCATCTGCCAACAGAGAAGATAACAATTATCAAGCCAT